AATAAAAGAATGAATGAATTTATTTACTTACTTATTCCGTCTATATAGAATTAAAATAATACGCTCCAAAATCATTTGTGCAATCCTCATTACAGATCAAGTTAAATCACTAGCCCTTTTGATATTAAAAACGAAGATTTACAGTTCCATACTTCAGTTCTAATTTGAAGTGAATTGTTAAATTTAACATGAGTTTGGACATACTGTACAACTGATGTTGGATCTGTTCACTTGGTTCAAATGACACATCAACCACTTTCCTGGAAAATTCTCTTATTCTCTTGCACTGGCAGAATATAATTTGCTAATGTAACAGATAAACCAAACAGCCATTTATGCTGTTGACTTCTGCAAAGAAAGTTGAGTTTTCATTCCTGATTTCTTTTCCCATGAACTTCGAGAAATCATGGAGGATGAATGAAGAAATTTTGAAGGGCTATTCTTCCCAAATCTGAGGAAGATGATAGTACTTAACATTTTTACATACTGTCACAAAGAAGGTATTCAATGCCTATTCTCTATCAACCGATAGGGCTTGACACAAAATAATAGGTGGCAGATTGCATTTGAACAATTCAACAATCCAGCTAGAGATTGTTATTGTCACTGGATGCATTGACTGGGGAGTCATCTATCAGAGATGTTTTCATTGGATCCTCTTTCAATTTGCTTTCTATGTCACACATTTCTCCATTTCATTTATACTTTTCCTCTGTATATTATTTAAATAAACCATGACCTGTGACCCCTTAGTCTTTAGGTCATTGCATCTGCATCTTGATGTAGCACTAGTCCTTTAAAATATTTTCCCCCCAAAAGCTTTTTATTCCATTATAGGCAAAGCTGGAGAAAACAAATTTCTGCTGCTATCAAATCTCAGATTGCCTGAACTAATTTCAGAGGATCATTTTTCACTGCCAAGAAAGCACCATTATGGGCAAAACTGCATCCTAGCCAAAGTTGTTTCCTGGTACTTATGATGGATTATAATCCTACTTATGTAGGGCAGCATGAAAAATGTTTTCATTAAATCTTATAGGAACCCATTTATAACTTTGCTGCTATAAATATGCTTATTATCTTAAACTATCATCCTAATCTGGGACTTGTTCTCCTCACAGCAACTTCAATTAACAAAATATACTAAATAGCTTAGTAAGGGAAATTTGTTTCATTTTCTTTAACACAATGATATAATCTAAGACCATCACATGAAGCGCTCATGAGGCTTAATCATTTTGCCTGTTTTTTTAAAAATGTTCTTAGCTTATTTATTGGGCATCACTGCCTCTTTTAATAGTTTAAAATGTATAATGAACAAGATGGTTACTATTTCCAAGCAGCTGTTCTGAGATATTTATATATAAGCAGTATGCAATTTGAACCTTAGTCAAATTCTTTCTATGACCCAAGTGCCAAAATATGTTATATTGCAAAACACTTACTTTTTTTCTACAAATCTATCAATCATTAACTTACATTAGGTTTTATTTTTGCATCTTAGAAATTCTATTCCAGATAATTTGAATATCAATAGCCAATTTCTTGAGATCAGATATCCAACTCTGTCACAGGACAGTAAACTAATAACAGTGACTGATTTTCATCATCTGCATTTAATATGCCTGTTTGCCATTTTTGGAGGAGAGGGATCTTGTCAATCACACTTCATAAACCCTTTAATTCAAGAGTTTCAAATTGTGTGTTGTGATTAATTTTGGAAGGTTGCACAGAGAAAGCTGAAGTTGGATACAGTGTTCTTGCTGTACCTGAATAAGTCAGTTACGTGTTCTATTCACTTACTGATTCTTTTGATTATTGCAGCCTTGTATTTTGAAGATCTATCAAGCCTGCTGCTATCTATTTCACTCACTCCATCTTTTCTTCCCCTATTTTTCTTTTTTTATTCTCTCCCCATTATAGGCCCTAGGTTCTGGCAGTGTTATCCAGCCAGGGTGCTCTTACTTTTTCCTTCCCTAATCTACATCCTCTTGTTTTTCCTCCATTGGCTTAAAGTTAAACTACAGGGCTGAAAGTTATTAGGGTAGCAGAAAGAGAAAGGAACTAAGTTGGAAGTTCAGGACTTTGAGATTTTATAGTGTCAGTGCCACAAGACTAGGGATAATATAAAAATACAGATACAGTAATCTAAACTCTTCGTTGCTTCCTCGATGTGGGAGAGAGAAGAAATGAGGCAGAAGAAAAAGTGGCAGCGGGCAGAATGGGTAAGAATGGGTAGTGGTGTGACAGATTTCAGAAATCTGGGGGGGTGCACTCTAGACAGATGCTGCTATAGCTATACCTTGCCTACTGACTGCCTCACCTAGTTCAGTGACTGTTCAGTTACAATGGTGTTGGAAAAAAAATAACTTACATTTACGACTTTTAATGTCCTGCAGTGACATGATTGCCATTATGGTTACCACACGTTATCCTGTGTCTGACCTGTTGTTTTTCCCTCCCCACTGCCAAAGCCACTTGCAGAGCAGAGAAACTGGAGAGGAAGGGATTACAAAAGAGTAAGCAGACATAAAATGGGGAATGCACTAGGCTGTTTGGGTAGTAACTGAGGGCTGCCACACCAGAGCATTGTCCCCATTATTTCTTACTCTTGAGATACCTTCCTCTCCAACGAATGTAAATACAACCATTACTTCCTTTCTTGCTATTTATCCCAGAGCCAGGGTGAGCTTCCAAAGGGCAGAAAAAAAGGGGAGGGGAAGAAAGCACAGTTGCAATCACATGCTTTCTCAATTAGCAACCACTTCACTTAATGACAAAACTACAGATCCCAATGAGGACTACTGTACTGTGAAAAACCAAAATGATGAACTATAAAATAGAACAGTCAGCCAGCTAGACCAAGCAGAACAAGAGCAAATTCTGACAGGGCTGCAGTTTTGCATCTGTGCAGCTCTGATAGCTTGCACACAGAACTGCCTTATGTAAACTGAATTTCATCCTTCCAGTAGCTATTGCTATATTACATTATGATTATCAGTATTTTAAATATTCTGAAGGGAGTCTGACTAATTTATTATTATTTTAAGAAGTCATGGCACCACAAAATTGAAAATTAATCACAAAATTGAAAATTAAATTATGCAAATATCTCTATTATTGCAAGGCTCTTTGGAAGCATAACAGTACAGAGATAAGCGTCTGAATTCTGTACGAGCTAATGCATTAAAGGTGATAAAAATAAAAAAACGATAGTATGAAATGTGGGATTTTCCCCTCTCTTCGAACTCTGGGTGTTAGCATAGCTCCTATAGAACTCTTAGCAGTTTAAGACCAAACTTAGTGCTTTCTTTATCACGCCCATCAGAATAGATGAAGCAGAATTTTCACTTTAACATTAACAGCCTTAATGAAGATGATGCAATTGCTATCAATAAGGCAGTACCATATATGCATGGCATGGAACAATTACATTGGTTGCAATCACATACACTACTAACAGCCATAACACCTTAAAAGCTCTTCAAACAACTAGGTGTATATTTAAAGGCCTATTATAACATGTTCAGAGGAGTTTAGTAGGTATCTTGGGATGTTTTCCACATGCTTTCTCTATAAATCATCGTGGTCTTTAATTACATGTAGCATGACTAGTATTACATTTAATATTAAATTTATTAAGACTAACCTTCCTAACGTTACAAGAAATCTAGGAAATGTGAAAATTATGGCCACATTAAGAAGAGCTATATAAACATTTTTCTTTTATAAAAAAAATATAGAATTCTTTCTCAATTTCCTCTATATAAATTTCTCAACTTTTCAAAATCAAAATCCCTGCCTCTTCTTTGATATTTTTCTCAATAATTGCCAAGGACTATTTGAAATATTTGTATTAGTTAATCTTCAAGATACTTCATTTTTAATTATAAAGCCTTCCCTTACCTGAAAGCTTTTTGACAACTGATAATAAATAACTTTTTAACGTATGCTTTGACTGCTTTTCCAAGTTGAGGAAGTGTCTTGATGTCTCACTTTCTAATCTTTCTTGGAAAATAATTAAATCCCATTATTAATTAGTTTTTTTATAGGAAAAATGCACAGTAATGTTTCAATAAATGAAACAAAGTGCTATATTTGAACAATTGCACAAATGATTGTGAATCTTCCAATTCATGTCTTGGTGTCTGCCTACTTCACTGGTCACTAATCTAGATTTTGACTGGAGATCAGGGCTCTACAACTGTACATTAATGAGGATGCTACACTGGTGAGTGAACTGAAGGTCTGAAGAAGCAACTATTTGTTCCTGTGCTGAATGACCCAGAACTGTCTACATTTCAGAAATTAAGTATCTCGGATGCAGACTTCCAACATTATTTAAAAGATAATAACTGGAGAATTTCTCTTATGAAATTATATTTCACACTATATTTGGAGATTCCAAATGCTAGGAAGATACAGTATTAGCTATTTAGAGAATCATTTAATATATAGAAATATCAGAGAAGGAACAATTATATGGTATATATCAAAGCATAAAGACCAAATACACTAAATGAGAGCATTGTAAGAATGTGCAAAAGAGGCAACTAAACATAAATAGCTTGTTGAAATGGGTTGCTACAGAAATATATATGTATGTATGTATGTATGTATGTATGTATGTATGTATGTTATTTTGGAGTTTAGTAATATAGAACTTATGGGCACATTTGTACTAGACAATCACCCCCCCCCCCAAGTTTCCTATGGTAGAGGAATATAACATATTATAGGAGTTATATGTTAACTCTGTTATAAGTTATTCTGAACTGTTTTTTTGTTTGCAACAGTTTTTAAATGGATTTACATTTAAATGGATGTACATACAGCTAGTGCTGTTTTATGTAATTTCTAGGATCGTGTTTTTAGAAAAATGTGTGCATGGTTCACTTTAGTAGAATCAGCCTGAAAGATTTAGAAGGTAAGAAAACAGACATTTCACTGCAATTGGGTTAAATAATAAACAAAAGTCAATCTTGGGCTAATTTTTTCAAAAAATTTATTGATCCTTTTCTTAGTACAAAGCTTTAGCATTAGTAAATTATGAAAACAAAATGTACCAACAGATTCTTGTTACATTATCAAAAAATGATAATGATTATTTTTAATGAAATAAGTGCTTTCTTCCTGCAGCAGCTGATTAGATTGTATCTTCAATACCATTCAGCTCTGTAAGAAAGAAAAAAATATAGAATCTTAGTAATAATATTATACTGTTAGTAAAACTGAAATTTTCAAAAACAGTTATAAGCAGAGTATTCTGAGGCAACAAATAGTGTTTTCAAGTCAATGGGAAGGAAGATAAACCTATTCTATTCTGTAAATATAAACCTATAGACATTAGGAGATAGATATAAAAAGCAGCTTCAGAAGATAATAATACAAGTAATGAATTTTATTTATCGCTTTTTTAATTCGACATATTGGTAATTTACCCCTGAAGTATGAATGCTGTAAATCAAACCATCCTAGGAAGAGTGAACATAATGTAGGTGGTTCTCCCATTTCTATATTGTGTCATCATATCAAATGCAATCTCCTATGCCTATGTAATTGAAGATGGGAATATAAAAATCATCTATACCCTATTTTAATATGTCATTGTAAGATCATAAAATCTTAGTGAAATTAAATATTTTACAACTTTTTATTAGTTACAAGGAAGCATTATGTGAAACTGATACACTTCTAGCTGGATAAGATCAAATGATGTATTCACATTAGTGGAAGTGTTTTAATCAAGGAATACAAGATACAATTCTGTTTCTTTATCAAAACTGAAAGGTATATGGGAAATTGCATTATTCATTTCTAATTTAATATATGTTAATACTTATTGCTATACAATTAATTTTGAAGTTGTTTATTATCAAAACAAAAATACAATGATAAAACTAAAAATAATTATTATAAAAAGTATTCATTACAAAGTAGACAGAAAGAAGTGATAAAGAAAATAAGTCATGATATCTGCTGAGGTAAAGTCTATGACAGATAGCCTCAAATAAATTGGGAAGGACTTATTCTAGAAAGCAGGTCTACTACAGAAAAGACTGTTATGAGTATCTTTAGATTGCAGAACCCAGAGAAGACCTTTTTAAAGGATTTTAGTGGTCATCCAACTATAATGATAGAGGCAATTTGCAAGATAACATTGCCAAATACTGTTGATTTTCAGATAGCAATAGGAAACCAGTAAACCTGGTTTGGTAATTTGCAGCAGAGATGTAATATGTATTTGTAGTACTTGTCAAAATAATTATATTGCATGATCACCAAATTTAGTAATTAGTGGCTGAAACTTAAAGGGAAAATGTACTGGCCTAGATAATCAATTGGGATTTCTTACCAGAAATTTTACTGGACTATTTCTAAGACTACCTAATGAAAAAGTTCCCACTATTTAAAAAGTGATCGTTTGTAAAGGAAAATTTGAGAAAAAACATTTCTCATTCTCTGTTCATGTACTTTGTAAATATAGAGATGCTATGTGAACAAGCCTTTGGTTAATTGGAAACTGGACTTCTATAAGTAGATTGAGAACAGGATCAGTGGAAACTCAGATATACCCATTGATATATGTCCAATTGTAATAAAAATGCTGAATAAAATGTTGCCCTTGCTGTTTCTTCATACTTTCTATAGGTTTTCTGATAGATTATTTCTTTTGCTAGTATAATCTTCTATATAAATAAAAATGTAAATATTCGTTTGTTCAAAATCTTAAATCTCCGAATGTTCTTCATCGATTGCTTTGAAATTTTGACACAACGTTGCATTCGAATACGCACGTGTTTTTATATACCTACTATTATATAGATGTCACCCCTGTGACAGGTAAAAACATGCTTTTTTTGAAAAACAGCGCCATCTGTTCGACGTAAAAGCAACACAAGCTATGATTTTACGATTCCAACAAGCATTGTGAACTTAAACATATTACAAACATGCGCTTTCTCTTTTCTTTCTTTTCCATTTAACCAGACTGAGCCACAGCAACGCGTGGCAGGGTACAGCTAGTGATAAATAAAATTCAGTTATCTTCCCATGAAGCAAAACAGGCACTTGTATGTTTTCTTTCTCCCAGACTTGATGCTTACTACTTGATGCTAAGCATGATAATACTGAACTGTCTGCTCTGAACTAAAACTGAAGAGTGTTTGTATACCCAACTTAAATGGTAGGAAAATACTATTGGGTATGTCTAGTTTAATGAACAGAAGGACAAGGGAGGACATGATAGCAGTGTTCCAATATCTCAGGGGCTGCCACAAAGAAGAGGGAGTCAAGCTATTTTCCAAAGCGCCTGAAGGCAGGACAAGAAGCAACGGGTGGAAACTAATCAAGGAGAGAAGCAATCTAGAATTAAGGAGAAACTTCCTGACAGAACAATTAACCAGTGGAACAACCTGCCTCCAGAGGTGGTGAATGCTCCAACACTGGAAGTTTTTAAGAAGAGAGTGGACAGCCATTTGTCCGAAATGGTATAGGGTTTCCTGCCCGAGCAGGGGGTTGGACTAGATGACCTCCAAGGTCCCTTCCAACTTTATTATTATTATTATTATTATTATTATTATTATTATTATTATTATTATTATTATTATTATTTGGCTTAATATGCAAATTTAACAACTCTTCTACTTGATGCTTCTTTGCAAATCTGTCATGTACACAAATGCAACAATTTGTACAATTACTTACTCATTAGCATTTAAACTTGCAGTGGCTTTGATGATCATGTAGCAGAGTGTCAGGGCACTTAAGAGGCCAAAGCTGGCAATAATAAACCATTCTTCTGTTGACAAAGGAAAGGGAGGAAATCACTCGTGGAAAGCATATGTCGATGAAAACACAGCCCTCAAAGATCAGAAGCAGAAGATAAACATTCTAGTCATGAAGCACCAGGAAGTGAAGCTCCAGAGGAAAGCAGAAGTTTAGCAATGGAAGATACTAGGTGAAGAAGGGTAGCCAAAAAGTTATGGGGAAAAGTGAAAAAAATAGGCAGTATACTTGTAGACTGGTTAGCAGACTCAAACAATTAGTTATAAAAGACTTGCTTAAATCAAATGCAAAGTAAGGAAAGCAGAAGCAAAAGTTCTACCTGCAATTAAAGACTGACAAAATTGATCATTTCCAAGTAAGTATTTAAGAGCATACACACATGACATGGAACTTGTAACTGTTCTTTGTTTATTTAGTCCATTTAAAGGCAGAATTTCAAGTAGAACCAACAATGCACAAAATAAACCATAATTTTAGTCTTAATATAATGCAACTTTACAAAATAGTATCTTATATAACATTTTTAACTGGCTGGTACATGGTTGACTGACCGTATTTAAAAAGCAAAACCTGAAAGCTTTCAGATAGAAATAAAATGCTTCATGTTTTTAATTATTGTCATCTGTATGTCTGTGTGTCCGGGGTAGCAAACAAAACTGAAACAGGTTACTATGGTTGCTTTTAAACATGTGTTTTGATTAAGTGCTTTTGACCGCTGAGATTTGACCTACATTTTAAAATACAAATTTATTCCATTTCTATATTTTTTTAAAATCAGAAAATGGTGCATTATTTTCTAAGTGTAATATAAACATGCAAAACATTTTAAAAAAATATTAATCTGATAGACATAACTTGATTCTTCATTCTGAACTTAGCCCAGTCATATGATTATCATACCCCTATCTATGATTATAGAACTGAGACTGTAGGAAGAACAAGCCTGTACTTTCAAGCTAGATATTGACCTTGCAAAAATGAAATGAAAAGACAAAAATTATAATGCCGCAAGTTAAAGCTCTCCAGCACCAAATATCATATTTTTACAGAAATCCTCTATGACAAAGATTTTTGTAACCAATTTGCAAGAAATATAGAAACATAAGTGCAAGCAATACTTCCCTTCTCAAATTACTTGGCTGTCTTCCAAGTATTTTTGTTTTTTATTTTTAATAGAGGAGAATATTTGTACTTCCGGGCAGAAATGAGGGGTCCTTAGTGCTCTCTGAGCTTGACTGATTTCTTGGATTGATATTACCTAGTTTGGGTCATGAAACATCTGCAAGAAGACAACCAACCTCAAAGAACACCAAGGGCCTCTCATTTAATTGAAATACATTCAATTAGTAAAATACTACAGCTGTGTTATAGGTTAAATTTGTATCTAATTTGACCAGGTCTTCAAGTTGATGTGACTTTTTGAATCAGACTGAATTGAAGACTCTAGTCAAAGCTGATCTCTACACTTGTATAAAATATGTCAAAACTCACAAAGTTGTTTAGCAAGAACTACAAAGATATTTAATGTATATTACACTTTCCTTGAAAACTGCATTATTAATTGGTAAACTGAAATAGAAACCATGTGTTACTGCTAAACTCATAAGGCTCATAAAATATTTGAACTTTCAGAAAGCAGAATGGCTGGTCTTACTAAATAGTTGCCATAAAGGAAAAGGTTTAGGGGAAAAAAGCATCCATTTTTTCAGAAGGCAAAATATTACCATTGCTATTATGATTAATTTATTGACCGGCTGAGGAGTATAAAAAAGTAACTTAGAGAAGAAATCATGTACAAGGGATGAATGGGTCCTGAACATCAAATCACCCTACCATGCAAAACACTTTTTTGCAAAAAGCAAACTAGCAATGCTTTGAAAACATCAGCTCACATCAAGATAGTACAAATTCAAAGAAAGAACACTCAGAGAATATAGATAATATTTTGTCAGTTTGGTTATTTGTTTTTACTTATAGATCTCGAGGATGTCAATAGATCACATGGAATATTAAATCCTTGTCCCTTTCAGATATTTAAATAGTCCAAAATGTGACTGACCTCAAGTTAAGGTATACAATAAATGCCTCTGTAGGAGTGATATGTTCCCCACCTTATTCTTAAGTCAATTCCCCAAATCATACTTTCCACTGGATGTAATTATTTCAAGTGTTGCGAGGTGGCCACAGTATGGTCCTAAAGTGTACAACCATTTTCCCCTAACAAAAACCAAAGTAGATTTTGCACGGTATGCCTCTTGTTACAGTCACTGGTCAATGATTTACTAGAGTACCCCCACTCGATCTATTAGTTTGAGTATGTAGACAATTAGGACTTTCAAATGACTCATTTCTTTGCTGCCATTTTCTCCATTCTAACATCTGCAGGGCTTGTTCCAGCAATATAAAATGCATTGGATGTAATGGCTTCAAACAATTTGTCACCATTTAGCACCTGTTGTTCAATAACTGGTCACTTTTTGTTGAATGAGTGGCTTGTCAGTGTATAATCAATACTGAACTAGCAAAGCCAAGACAGAGCATCTAATGATTGTCTAGCTTTAACAATGTAACAAGGTTTATTTAGATTAAAAAGAGTGATACAGGTATTAGAAAAACTGACTACTTATTAGGCTGGCAATTAAATTAAAACACAGGCAAAGCTTAGGACACCCTCTTCCATTTGCAGAATCAAAATACAGATCAGAAATTAAATCTTAAGTAGAATGTGAGATGATTGAATCACTATATAAACCTATATATTTCAGAGTGACCTCAGATCAAAAAGAAATGGATACAGGAGGTCAGTACCTTCTTTATCAGTGCCACTGGGAGCTTTGGGGATAATAGAGTTCAAGGCACTGACTAATTTGACTGCAAGCATAATAGGTAGTCAGTTTTTCTAATTCTTGTATCACTGTCTTTAAATAAACCTCCTTGTTGCATTGTTAAAGCTAGACAATTATCAAAGATGAATCTTCTTCTATTTGAATGTATTCGTTGATCATTCATTTCAATATTAAAGAGGAATGGTGCCAGCACCTTTTCTTCTGATAAGCCATTCCACTAAATTTATGGATGGTTGATTGTATTTGCCTCCAGGTTCTATACTAAAGTGGCAGTTTTGGCTGCGTGGATATTTTGTATTAGTTCAAAATCCTCTGTCAAATTGTACAACTTGCAAAGTAATATGTGATGATTAACAGGCTGATATGCTGCCAAGAGATCAAAACAGCATGCATGGTTTGGCATAGGAGTAAGATTGGCTAAAGGTTCTTTGGACCTGAAGGACCTTTGCCCAGTTTCAACAATGCTACAACACTGATTGTCTCCATGTCTTGAATAGCTGTTTCAGACGCTTCTGAACCATTCCGGCAACCATTTTATGATGCTCAGTCCAAGATATTTGCTCAATTTCCACATAATTAAGGCCAGAAACTTTACCAGATTTCATATACTTCATGGAATTTGCTACTTCTACCTCTTAAAATACTCATTTGATTCATATTCCTGCCATTTTTCTGTATTCTATTTGGAGACTTGCCATTTAGGGGCACGTGAGGGTATATCAATTCATTTGGCTGTTATACTATGATGTTGTTCTATCTTTTGACGGTCTTTGTTCATCTTTCTAATTGTACTCCAAACTTTCTTCTTGTTGGTTATGTTGTTATTCTCAATTCCCATCTAATGCTAAATCATTTTTAATCAGCATGGCTGTAAGTGGCCATCTACCCACTTGAAAGTAACACCCCCCCCCATCTAAAGGCAAGTTGAAATACAGAGGCATGTAGCTATCAATGTTTCATCCTTGACACTTATCTCCTATAGA